GGTTTTGACTAATGGAAAACTCAATGGAGGAGATTTTCTACTATTGCAATCAGTGCCAAACCATGAAGTTACTAAGTGAAGAAGAGAAGCTTTGTGATTGAAGGAATGAAGAAGCCACCGTGCAGAACAAGAAACCTCTTGCCTATTCAGAGCTCACTCATGCCCTTAACCCCCTCGCAAGCAATTGGGGCTTGGGGCATGGGGGCAAATGATGAGCCCAGATTTCAACTGGGCTAGGCCCAATAAATTAAATGAGCCTAGATCAACTAAAATGGATCCGTCAAACCCAACTCGTGGATTCAACTCATTCTAAAGCCCAAGGAGTCCAAGAAGATAGAGCACGTGGGGAGTAATCATCGAGATAACCATTCTCAAAAAACAAGGTAATCTTTAATTGTACTTATCTTTACTTGTAGCTATCCTCCCGAAGAAACTAGTATTTTTACCCTAAAGTCACCACCTCAACTAAGGCTCTGTGCCTATAAATTGTAAGATCTCTCCATTGAGAGGGGCATCTCTACATCTCTATACACCCTCTCACATAGCTATCTCTCTTAGCTACCATACCTCTCCCAGAGCTCACTTTTGCTCTCTTTCTCTCTCACCTTACTTTATAATTAAAGGTTCTCCGGCCACCGTTGCCGTTTCTCGGAGTAGAGTAGGTCCTCCTGATCGGAACCACTATACATTTATGTGTTGACCCAATATTTACTTTTTTACCGTTGATTGCTTTATTAATTGTTTCATTAATGCCCCTGTATCATTCACTCGACTGTTGATTGTGCATAAGTCTATTTTATGCATCATCATTTTGTATTCATCCGAACTACATAATTGAAGTAAAAATAATGTCGCATGCAAATAAATAAGTATTCAATATATATATATATAGAGAGAGAGGAGAGGGAGAATGAGAAGATGACAAGTGTCACATTTGAATGAATACCATGGAGGCAAAAATTCGCACAATCACTAAAATGTGTTGAGATGCGTCCCTAGTTTTAAAATATCATGCAGTCCACGAGCTACAAAATCATAGAGAGATTAGAGGGAACCCCAGCATTGAGCCGAGGGAAGCTCCTCCTATGTCTAAGTCGGTATTACGATCAATACATGAACATGCTCGTGTGTAAAGTTAGAAATATGATCAAAGGTGTGTATGTTTGGAGTATGCAACTGAAATGCTCATACTTAGCCCTCCATAATTTTGGGTCTTCACCCATATTTATTGAGAAGAATGGATAACTACTTACAAATTGTTCTTGTCTCTAACATGACTAATTATATAGCCTTTGACTAATAACTATCTTTTTAGTTTAAAGCTATGCCCCTAGAGCCTTGTGCCATCAATTGCAACCATTTTTGTCAAATGATGTGGTCCATCACTAGATGTCCCGTCAAATATATATACATAGGTAACAAAGCGGTGTCAGAACCTAGAAATTAAGTTTTATATGAGGATTATAGAAAGTGAGTTAGCCAAAATAAACGGTTTGCATCAATTTACTATTACTAGACATGTTTGATTAATATTATTATTTATAGTTTATTTTGATATCTATAGAGGTAACCGTTTAGTTGATATAAATATGGCATTGTGGGATGATATTTACATGGCCCACACTAAGGGAAATTCAGGACGTGTCCAATACTTGATTATTCATACCCCCAACTGACCAAAAAATTAGTGCATAACAGGTTGACATTGCAGTTAAGGATAGTTTGCAGAGTTATAGTATCGAGAGAAACCCAAAACTATACCAGAAAATTTTAGATGGGATGGCAGTACAAAAGGTCCAATAACCACATGCCAGAGTTAGTGTTGGGCAACCAGTTGGGATCCTTGACCCAAATAATAACGAATGGTTGGACCCAGAGTCCGATGAACCAAACTTGCCACTTGAAGTGAACCATTGTGCTCATTCTGCTGGTTTAACGAATGTGCCTCCCAAGGGGGAGAGGGAGGCATGATATTGTGATACCCTAACTTCTCTGAAAACATTACTATTTTAAAGAGTTTTGTCCGTAAAAAATACAACACCCGAGAATAGGGACGTTACAATTGTCATCCGGTCTATGCTTCTGGATTATGTAGGCTTGTGATTTTGGGTGGGCGAAGTGTGGTGTATGTTAATTTTTGAACATTTTATAGGAAAGTAAGTTTATTGCTGAGATTTGGCATTTCTGCCATTAGAATAGATCTTGTTTCCAGATCAAGTGCCATAATGGATCGTATCCAATTGCATTCGATCTAGCATCTACAAAAGGAGAGGGGTGAGGCTTTGTCCATCAACAAAAAATGTACTTACCAACTTTGCCGGCCTTTGACTTATGATTTTGGCCAATGAATGAGTTTATTTGAAATTATTGGATGAAGTTAATGAAAGTTATTCTGATTTATGTTTTAGATATATATGTATATAATTGAAGTGTTTAAATATAATTTATCCAAAAATTAGGGACAATGGTTAGGAGTGAGGACCAAACAACTACTGTTTATGATAAACTAAGCCCACGGTGCCATGCCTATAAAAATTGGTATGTCAATCTCATCTATCAATATAAATACGATTACAATGTTCTAAAATTAATATGGGTATGGACCAAACAGCTAATCATTTTTTAAGACTATTTCAAAACTTTTTTAATATTAGGTCCATACCCGTATCAAATTACAAGATATTCAAATTTATATATAAATTTTTAATGATAAAATTTCACCACCGTTTTCAATAGTCCAGAATTTAATTAATCTATTCTCAAATTCATAGAAAGTAGGCTATTCAGTCGAAATTTGAGAATTCACGATGTACCTGACTTAAAAAATTGCCCGAATTCGAACTCGCGATATTTGTGTTTACGGCTGACTTTCTTCGATGAGAAACAAATTTTTTACCATTTTTTCACTCATTTGGAGGATTTGGTTTCCATCCAAGATGGTCCAAACAGTGTTTGCTGATTAACTATTACATACATGGAGAGAGAGCAGACCACATAGATTGATCCTTCTTTTGAGGTGTCTGAAAGGAGGAACAAAAATCCAATAGACGACTACGACACCGAAAATGAGCACGCCGCCGGGTCTCAAGAAGCCTAAGATGGAGAGAGAAGAAGAATCCAACGGCGAAGCTGACAATGAGAACGGCGAAGAGAAGCTCATGTGGGAGGAGAGAGAAGAAGCACTTGTGGCTCTGATCGAGCATCGTACCAAAGAAGTCGAACATCTCCGCCAACGTTTGTCCTACTACAAATCTCAGGTTTTCACAATTTTTGCTCTAAGTTTATTATTTTTTTCTAATTTTTTTGTACTATTTTGGATTTTTCTGTGGTTAGCGGATTGCTTGGTGCAATGGAATAGGGATGTAAATGATCGGTTATACTCCATAAACAGAGATTATCTGTATTTTTAAAGTTTGGAGCTTGTGCATATATAAAAGTTGGTGATTTTAGGTTTAAACAAGCTCCGGTATATAATTGATGATTTTGGTATTTTTGGATGGATGAAATAGAACAGTGAGCAACCTCATTGTTGTGTACTTTATCAGCATTAAATTTTATGATTGTCATCAGTTATTGACTTGATTGTGGTGATTAATTGTAGAGACGTTTGTACTGCAAATTTGTGGAAAATGACTAGCTTTTCTTACTCTTTGAACATTGAAACCTAATTTGAATTTGTCAGCTGACAGAAATTTGCATTCAGATTTGTTTTAAATTGCTGAGTAGATGCAAGAGATTGTTGGCTTTTCACGACATCCTTTAATATGAGAGATGGTGCATTTGAAGTAGGTAGACTGCTTTAGGCAAGTGTTATTAATGTTATAATGAAGTGGAATGTCACAATTGATCAAGTCAACAAATGGCAGCAGCTAACGATAAAACATTGTCTTTACGTACATTGACAGGTAAATGATTGTTGCCTGCCTGTTAGTTAGAAGAAATATATCTTGTAGCTGTCAGATCATTCAGTTATTAGTATTGCTCGAAGTTATGATCTCTTATTATGAGTAAGTTTTAAATTTCACTATAAGATGGATGCCGATACCATGAAAAAAATATTTGATATTGGGCTGCAGTTGCATAATCCTTCGGACCTGTCAGCAGTAGTGGAGTGGTTGAGATTTGCCCATGAGTGGTCTCCTATGCAAAGAGACACATGGAATTTGTTTCAATTGTTGCTGTTTTGGTATCATGGCCAGATGCGGATAAGATGTGTTAATAGAGAGCATAATGGAAATAATATCCTCTCTTTCTGTAGATGATATGGCTTGGATTCTACAATCAATTCAGAGACTTTAGGACTATGCAAGGTTGTCATGAAGTTGAATAGAATGGAAGTCGAGGATGATTCCTCAGTTCTTATTGGGTGTCTGAAGGACAGGGGTGATGGTCCTTAGAACTTTGATTGTTTCATGAATTAGATCATGGTCTTGGCAAAAGACTTAAAATATTTATATGAACTGGATTCTGGGAATGTTTAATTCAGAGGCAGATTTTCTAGCAAAGCAAGCAGTTGTCGCCCTTTGTGTTTATAAGATATCAATAGTGCCCTTGATGTTTTTGTGAGGATCTTTTGTTCATCTTTTTGCTTTTTGTTTTTCTTTTAGCTCGAAAGGAAAGCTCATATTTACCTTTTTCCCTCTTCTAGCATATGGTCTTGTTATTTTTTTTTTCTTTTTCTAACAGTATATATTGTATATCTGGAGAAGCATAAACATGTGGCGTACAAATTTTTTCACGTCTACTATTTATATGTTGTTTAATTATGCTTGCTAACTGTTCTTTCGTTATCATCACTTAATTGAGGATGGTCGTGTTACCAGGATTTCATTCCGAGGGTGGCCAAACTATATAAATTGACAATCTCATAATACCTTTTTTTAAGATATATCTCATAATATCCAAAATTGAGTTCTTAGCTACTTACCGTATAAAAATTAGTTTGTGATAATTTCACCATCCATTTATACCTTTGTTTAAGATATGATATAATGATTTAATTATCATTAAAAAAATAGATTCACATGATACTGTAGTAACATTGAGTCGAAAATTAATGCATTGTTTTTTATATAAACCACATTTGTAGCGTAATTTTACTTTAATCTCACTTGTTTTTCTTCGGTCATCGGATTCATCCAAGTAAGTATTTTTGTTTGTAAGAGTAGTACCCACCTATGCTATTAAATTCCTTAGTTAATGTCAAACCATTTAGCTTTTTGCGTATTAAGTAAATTACTTATATATAGGATTTTTTAAACCTAAGGGGGCTGCATAGGGTTTTTTGAAAAACTATGGGGACTATAGCAATTTTAGAAAATGTGAGGGGGGCCATGGCCAATGCCTAGTTCCGTCACTGGTCGTGTTGGATAGTTATCAAATTAGCTTGTCAAATATCGATATATTAGTTGGTTAGTCATTATCATATATTTGTCATCAAAATATAGCTGATCAGCCCTGTGGATATGGAATGTAGCTTGATCAAGCAGAGAGAAGGTTAGAGGAGACCCATGTTAAACTGGCCCGCCATCGAGGCCGAGACAAAGTGATGTCATCCAAAGGTTCTGTGGGAAATGGTATGAAAGAGGTGAATGCTGAACAAAGATCAACTAGTCCTACCCAGATCAGCGAAGGTCATTCTCAAAGACCGCCTCAATCTAGACCACAATTAGTCCAAGAAAATGTGAAGCCATCCAAAAACTCCCTGAAAGAGGGCGTGAAAGAGGTAAAACTTGAGCGGAGGTCAAGTAGTCCTATCCAGATCAGTGAAGATTCTTCTAAAAGCCATCCTCCATCTAAACCACGACTTGTAATACCTGCTGTGAATCCAAAAGTTTCCCCACCTACGAAGATGGCAGAATTTGGCTCTAAAATTAACACCGGATCTAGTTCTCGAACTTGTGCATCAGTTCCCACTCACACTGATAGTATTGTGAAACAAAAAGGGGACAAATTTCAGCGAATCTCTTCTGAGCAGGAAGCTGTTGAAACTCAAGCTAAAGGGACAAAAAGAAAGGCTGGTAATACTTTATTATTAGTTTATCTTTTGTGCACATAAAGCAAAATTTATCTTTGCAACTGGAATTTGCATTGCATTACCCCTCATATTTTTGCGTATTTTTATTGTTGAGTGAGATTTGTTGTTTGTCATAATTGCTTTCTGAATTACAGAGCAGAAAGAACACAAAGACATAATTCCTTTGATACATAGCAGCTCTTCACCCCGCCCAATCCGTTGCCAGACAGGCTGTCTCATATCCAGTCAACACAAGAGAAAGTTGAGAAGTCTTGTCCTGTGTCCGACAAACGACCAACTATTTGTGACCAGGTAGTTTGTTTTTTCTGAAATTTCAAATGAGCAAGTCATGGACAAGGGCATTTATGTATCCTCTAACTTTGTAAACCCCTTCCTCCGTTGGGAAAAAAAATTTCTGGGCAATTTGGTTAAAGCTGGACTGCTGTGGCTTGATTCAAGAGTTTCAATTTGTAGCTCAAACCTATGGGATTTCTAGGTTTTAACACAGAATAATTTCAGAGAAACATTGGAGATATAATTCTTTCTTCTGTGAAAAAGCATCATGTGTCCAAAACCTTCTTTCCAGCACATATTTTATTGTTTTATTTTATCAGATGAGAAAATATTCCTCATAACTCTTTGCGAATGTAACTTGCATTGGAATCTTTGCAGTTCTTTGGATGGAGTCGTCAACTTGTGGCAAGTTCAGGCCAGAGGGTATGTTTAATTTTTTTTTCTCAATCTACAAACTTGGTTCAAATGCCTCTTTATCCCGGGAATTGCCAGTGCGTTGCAAGAAAGAAGACTTGAATGCACCCTTAGGCAGACTGGTGTTTTAGGAGGACCAAATGCTTTCTATTTAGCACAAAAGTAAACCAAAAAAATAATAATAATTACATACACACACATATACGTGAAACTTCCGAAAAGTGAGTTTGTATGACTTTGATCTCATAGTCTTGCTGCTTTTCCGTCCCAGATGTCTTCATGTCAAATCGTATTAAAAATTTTAAGTGAGACATGCTATAGCCCTTTTGGGACAAACTACAACATATGCCTTTTAAATATTCTCCAATGTATAACTTGGTGTTTTATCATATGCAATTGAGTCAATAACCCATGCTTTGTGACTTAAGTTTCTCATTTGGGGTGTTTTGCTTGTGATTGTGAAATTGCAGATCAAATGCCAGTCTTCTTAGTACCACTGATTGTGTATCTCTCAAGCACAGGCGATGGCCAGAAGACATAGCCTGGCATCCACAGGGAAATTACCTATATTCTGTTTACAGTGCTGATGGTGGGGATTCCCAGATATCAATCCTGAATCTGAATAAAACAAAAGAGGTATCAATATGGAAAGAAGTGGGAATTCATATAATTGTGGTACTTATAACATAAATATTAATAATGAGAGTTAAATACCAGGATTGTTTGGCACATTGTGGAAACTCCTAGCTGTGAATGGTGTGGGTAATTCAAAAGATTGGTGTTGCTCTCAATTGTAAGAAATCATTACATGGTAGTCAATAGCCATGTATTAGTTAGCACATTTCTTGGCTGTTGTACAACAAACACATTGAGTACGTTTACTCTGACATCCTCTCAGAAAATAGTGGTTCTGATTTTTTATATTGATGCCTCAACAGGGAACCCGTGTAAGTTACATAGAGGAGAAGCCTCATGTTAAGGGCATTATCAACAACATAATGTTCATGCCATGGGACGATATCTGTTTTGTTACCGGTGGCAGTGATCATGCTGTAGTACTCTGGACTGAGAGAGATGGGGAGAACTCGTGGAAACCAAAAGCGCTGCACAGGAATATGCATTCCTCGGCTGTAATGGGAGTGGCTGGGATGCTGCAAAAACAAATTGTGATGTCTGTTGGTGCGGACAAGAGGATTATTGGGTATGATTTACTTGCTGGAAGAGCAGATTACAAGCATCAAATAGAAAGCAAATGTATGAGTATTCTACCTAATCCACGTGACTTCAATCTCTTCATGGTTCAGACTGGGTAAATTCACATTCAGAATCTCCGTATCACTTATGTGATTTTCAGTATTAAAGGTTTGCTTCAACATTTTCCCCCCTTTTTCAGTGGACGAGAGCGAAGATTGATTCTGCTACTAGAAAACCATGATCAGTTACTATGTTTGCCTATATCTTTGCATAAGAAATAATTAAGAGAGAGAATGCAATAAAAAAAATGAGTGAATCCAATATTCCAATTATTATTCTTTAATTCCCAGTTGATAATTAAAATAGACCTAGTAGTTATGGGTTCCTTGCAAAAGGATCAAAACTCCAAATAATTAAATCCTGAATAGCAAATTGCACAAAATCAGTCCTTACATCCAACTAAGATCTTATGCTCGAGTCTGAGGTAGCAGGTAGGTATGAATCCTCCCCTTTTCAGTTTTTTCGTAATCCCTTTCAACTCCCCTCAGCAGAAGACAGACACTCGGAGAGTTGCAGATGAGGTACCACTACAAAAGGTGAGTATTAAGACAGTGAAAATTGTGTGAAATCCTGAACTCTACATTCCTTAAATAGGCCTCTTGCTCATGATGAACCAAGGGTGGTACTGCAGTGGGTATTAGTTCTGAATGGGGCCTAAATTAACCATATGAGCAGTCATATACTCATATGACTGGTGGCAAGTGGTCTCCCACAATGGTTGGAAACACTAGACTAGCCTATTTTCCTCACTGCTTTCCTAAATACTGTCTGTGTTTAAATTGTTACTCAAGTTTTTTGGACAATTTGCTGGCAATTAGCATTGCTACCTCATCACGGAATTTAACCCGTTCTTTATGGAGTTCAACTTTAAATTCTCTATGGAGTTGGTCTACAGAATGTTTAAGGTTGCTCATCTCATTTAATTCTCTAAAACATGAATGGTCATGATTTTGGGATGAAAGCGTTGCAACAAAGTAATTAGAATTTGTACATGCACGATAGCACCAGTGAGATTCAAAGTTCGCTGGTTGCAGAATACATCCCTTATAAATAGAGTAATAGTCTAAGATCCCAATCGAAGAATCTGTACCTTAAGAAGTTGGTGATGAATGTTTATACTCTACAATTTTGCTTCAAGGACCAATTGGTCACCATGAATGCAGGCTTGCTGGAAGGATGCTTCAGATTCTGTATTTTATTCTTCAGTCAGGCCATGTTTTCGGTTTCTGGCCTGGGCAGTGAGCCAGATCTGATTTTGGCCCTGTTAAAGGTTCCTCGGTCTAGACCTGTATAGGGGAATATACTTCTAGGAATGTGATCTGGTGGCTGTTCTTTTCATTAATAGAACCAGAATCCTAAGTAAATTCGTTTACACTACACCTTCCTTTGTATATTTACTCATTTTGCTGCTCTAATATTCAGGTAATGTATTCTTTGCAGGACTCTAGAGAGACAGCTTCGATTATTTGATATCAGGGTTAGGCAGACAGAAGTCCATGCATTTGGTTGGAAGCAAGAAAGTAGTGATTCACAGTCAGCTTTGATAAACCAGGCTTGGTCTCCTGATGGTTTATACATAACATCTGGTTCAGTAGACCCTGTGATCCACATCTTCGATATCAGGTATAATGCTCACAAACCTTCCCAGTCAATAAAAGCGCATCAGAAACGTGTCTTTAAAGCTGTGTGGCACTATGCTCTCCCGCTCATGATCTCCATATCCTCTGACTTGAACATTGGATTGCACAAGATCATTTAAAATTCTGATTGAAGCTGTACCCATGTCCTGCTTTTTCGGTCCACATTTTTCCAATGTTTGGGAAATTTTGTATCCTTCCTTGATGAGGAGCAACTGCCTGTTAGGCAGCCTTTGGCTTGAACATTGTATTATGCAGAGGGAATCAAAGATAAGTTGCTAAGTTGATTGCTTTTAGCCATGGGCCTTGTTGTATATGCCAGTTGGGGCATAGTTGTTGATATTAGTTAGTGCATTCGTGTGTTGTACGTGAACCATTTTCATATTAAAATTTATAACTTAATAAAGATTGTTTGTTCTTTGCATCACAAATATTTAGCCTCTAACAAAACTCGAACTAAAGATCAAATCCATAATTATAAAAGGTTTAAAGACTTTAAACCAATTTTTGACACACACATAAGCATCACAAATTTGGGTATATCTTATTGAGTACTTTAATATTTAAGTCATTTTCTATATAACAACAATGATTAGGCGGATAAGGATGATATATAAATTTGCACACAACCATAAGTACACATATACACAAATAACTTATTTCGATATATGTCTGTACATATTAAACAAACATATATTTAACTACAGAAGTGTCAAATACAACAACACAGATTGTCGTAATGATATTTTTTTTTATCAATTCCCTTTCTTTTCATAGTTATATTAATTCTTAACAACCAAACAATGTGGAATCATATTTCACATGATATCTAAAGTTCACATCAATTTTATAAAACCTATATTTTTCTCAAGTTGTTGCCGACAAATCTACTAAAAGCAATCAAAATTAATTAGATTAATAAAAATAACCAATCACAAAATCATAGAGTTATAAATCACAAGAATGCAAATAGAAACCCATGATCACAAAGGTAATATGAACATGTTATTTCGTTAATGATGAATAAAACAATGCACTTTTTGAAGAAATATGTGTACTCCTTATAAGAACATAAAATTCAGACCCTACAATCATAAAACATAGAAACAAAAAAGTAAAATTTAATGACCACAAGAAAGAAGCCCATAAACCTAGGGTTTGAGCAAGTATAAGAATATGAGAAATTAGATATTAATAGAGAGAAAACTACTAATACAGAACTGGTAAATTAATAACAATGAATTTTATATAACCAAAATTCATAATATTAGTGTTTGTCATTACATGAAAAAGATACTATAGATATTACTCAAGTTATTAAGGTTATTTTAGTCAAACAAATTTTTTTCATTTTTGATGACATTTAATAGCAGTATTATAGTAGTATAGATATAGATGATCCGGATAAAATTTAGCAGTTTGAAGGCTGACTGTGGTATGACACAAATTCATTGTAGAGTAATCTATACTGCAATTGTATTTTGGTGTTGAACACTCCAAGTTAAACTGCATGAAAATTAGGGTGTGGAAGTCATCCATGGGTGAGAATAGTTCCTGTTTTATAAATTGCACATTAGGTACTGAAAATTATGTCTAGTATTTCCCTTGATCTTCATATTAAATGCTTAATTATGGGCTTGGCTCTTGGCTCTTGGCTCTTGGCTCTTAGCCAATGATCAAATTTTGTTTAAATGGCATAAATGTTTCCGTGTCTAAAGAGAATGAAACGAATCGGTGATTAAATCCAAATTTTAATAATTTGAGGTGTTTTAGAAGTTTTGAGATATTTTGATTTGGTGTCACTAATATTTCGAAATACTTTGAAGTATTTAAAGATGTTTATGCATATTTCGTCTATTGTTTCGAAATATTCTGGACAACCATAATTTTAAATTTGCTCCACAAAGATTTCTATCTCGACAACTCGAACTAATTCTTCTGAATGGCTTCGCCTACACCTTTAGAATCTCCTTCCAAAATGACTTTCATAAATCCAGGTCCTTAGGCCAAACGCACATCAGAATAAGCAGCAAGAGCTTCCACAATATCTACACTTAACATCCCAACAGTTTTTTGGCTATAGAATTGCACCAATTTTGTACTTGTAGATATATAAATTCAAGCTTTTCTTACCAATATTATTCGAAATCCGGTGTGGTTAGGGAGTTGACTATGGTACTAGAAAAAAATAATCGGTACCATATTTTTATTTATCATATTTATGGTTATTTTTACTATATTTGTAGGTAATTTTTATACTATTGTTGTACCCAAAAAAAAAGGGTAAAAATAGTTACAACAGTGATAAAAATATCCACAAGTATGATAAAAACATCCATAAACTTGATAAATCACTCACAAAAATAACAATTTTTTTGTACAAAAAAAAAATGATAAAAATAGTCGTCACAAATGTGGTAATAAATATCAACAACAGTGGTAAAAATACTTACAAAAATAATAAATCAATTATAAAAGTGATAAATTTTTTAGTTATAAAATGACTCACAAAAATTGTAAAAATACTTATTAAAATAGTAAATTTTGAAGTTAGGGTACCAAAATTTTTTTGGCACTACCGTGGTGAAGTCTGTGCGGTTAGTAGGTAATAAGAGTTTCACTTTTTTCCATAAACGTGGAGTGGACTCTAATAAGACTGGAGAGTTATTTGTGGAGGTCCGGGTGGATGTTAGAATTGAACTCAAACTCTCTAATTGTTATAAAGAATAAGAGTTTATTGAGTAATCAACGTGAGAATCTTATATGGAATAGGATTATATTAGAAGAGTTTTAATATAGCATGAATAGGTATATTAGACATGTGATATGAAATATAAAGATTAAGTTGTATCTAAATAAGTTTGGGTTATAATATTTTATCCCTATAAATAAAATTGAATATTATGTAATCAGTTATTAGATGTTCAATTTTTCAATGAAAAATACATCAATATAAGTTTTTGGTCCATGGATGTAGATACGGTGTACTAAGATGGGTATGCTGTGTCAAACCACGTTATATTTTTGTATCATACTTTTATTGTTTTCCTATGTTTGAATTCCTATCTTTCAACAAGTATTTTTTTTTTATATTCCAACAAGTATTATTTGTGTTAATTATTTGCTATACAAAACCAATAAGTGGTATTCGAGCTATGCTCCAACAAGAACATGAATGAGTTCGTTCAATGTCCGATTGGAAAATTTGACGGGAGATTAAATTTTTAACATTGAAAAACACAGATATAATTATTTTTAACATCATAGATTTTTTAGATATTATGAAAAACGGGTTCATAGATCTTGGAGATCTACCAACTCACACAAAAGCCCAAAAGGATGAATTGGTAGATCAATCAGAACTAGATTAATGATCATAAGAGAATAATCAGAGCAACCTGTTGGCAATTTAATGATCAAGTTGGATTTCATATTGAAAAAGATTCCCTTGTCACGTGTATACAATTCATATTTTTGTTTAAATGCACAGGAAAAAAATTAAAGTTAGTATAAAATCAAACAGAAGACTAAGTTGTTTCATGATTGTTTGAATTTCAAAAATTATCATACGTGCTATGTTGAAGATGTTTCTTTAGGTTTTTGAGCTTTTAGAGTTGAAGTCACGGTATTCTAATAGTTTGGGAGCTATTAGGCTGACATAAATATAATAGTGATAATGTGGTGTCTCGTGAATTATGAGTCACTGAGTTTTACCTTTAAATAGTGAAGCATTGATTATTAAGACCTCCAAAGGATAGGAAAGACATGGGCAGGGATGCACAGATGATGCAGGCTAAGACGCAGATTCTTAAAAGACATAGAAGATTGGTAAGACACGGGTAGAGATGCATAGATGATGCAGACCAAGATGCAAATTCTTAAAAGATAAAAATGATTGTTGCGACTCAAAAGAGCAGGTTTGTACGTGGTGGCTAGAAAAATTGGTGGATTAAAATCAAGGGTGCTAAACTCGATCTTGGGCATAACCAAATTTGAAAAGTTTGGTTCAAGGGAGACTGTTGGAATTTGACCTAAACTCTCTAATTGTTATGAATGAGAGTTTGTTGCGTAATCAATGTAAGAATCTTATATGAAATAGTATTATATTGGAAGAGTTTTAATATACCATAAATAAGTATATTAGAAATATGATAGGAAATATAAAAATTAAGTTGTATTTGAATAGGTTTGGATTATAGTATTTTATCCCTATAAATAGGGTTGAATATTATGTAATCAGTTACTAGATGATTAATATTTTAATGAATAATACATCGATGTACGGTCTACCAAGGTGGGTATGCTATATCAAACCACATTATATCTTTTGTGTCATATCTATATTGTTTTCCTATCTTTAATTCCTATATTCCAATAAGTATTATTTGTATTAATTATTCACTTTGCAAAACCAACAGTGGGCAAAAAAAAAAAAAAGGAAATTTTATGTTGCATTTGGTAATGTGTTGTTTTTTTCCATTTTTGTTTTCAATTTTTATCAAAATAAAAAATAAAAACATGTTTATGATGTGTTTCTGTTTTTTTAGCAACTTTATTTTAAAAACAAGGTCAACAAATGAAAACACCAAAAAGACGTTTTCAAAAATAGAGAAAAATGAAAACACGCGCGCTGGAGAGTAGGATGTTAATGAGGTTCATCCATCGAACCCCATTAGCAATAAAAATCTTCTTTTTTTTTGTGGAAGTATTTAAATTCCATATTTTTCAATTGTCTTCTCTCTCTGCAAACCAATGCTCATCTCTCCCCCCCTTTTCTCTCTCAATTGGAAAATGATCGAGGATGCTCAAATTTGCTCATTTTGTGGTCAGTTTGGTGGAGAATTTTCGATGGTTAGGTGGTCAGTTTGGAGGTGGATTTTCAGAGAGTGGGTAATGGGTTTTTCAAGGGTGGTGGTTTTCCAGGGGTGGGGTTGTGGGTTTTCAGGGAAGTTTGGTGGTTGTTTTCGAGGGTTATGGGTAGTGGGTTATGCATGGTTAGGTGATGGTTTTTTTTTTTGTGGGGGGTAGGTGGAGGTTTTCAGGTTTATGTGTGGTGGTTTTCAAGGGTTGTGGATGGTGGGTTTTTAGGGGGTTGTGGTTGGTTGGGTAGTGGACTTTTTGGAGGTTTGATGGTGATTTTTCGGTGGTGCAACCCCAAAATACTTTTGAGCAACTTATTTGAAATTAAAAAATTAACTAAAACAACCATAATACCAAATATATATTTTATTTTTGTTTTCTTAATTTTTTAAATATAAATGACTATCAAACATGTTTAATATTTTTATTTTGTATCATAAAAAAATAAAAACTAATTCTTTCTAAAAAAACCATAAACATAAAAACAGAAACGTTGTCAATCGTTACCCTTA